AAAGAGTGTCTAACTCAAATTGTGGTTGGCTCGGCAGGGAGCAAGTCCTTCCTAACAAAATAACCCCAAAACATCTGCACTGAATTCCAAGTCATTACTTCAAAACTCAGGAGTCACTGGCTTATTCAAATGCAAAGCTTAATATTATAGCAAATAACTCTTTGTTTTGCAGTTTCCCCCCATCCTTCCAGAGGTACACATGGTACATGCAACCAGTCAGGTGGAACAGAAAGAACTTGAAACTTGTCCCAACATGTCCTATTAACAAGTGATATTACTATCAACAATTAAAATAAAAACTAGTTCAAGATTACTCTTTTGGTTTTTTTTAGAAGAAAAGCTATACCAATGAAACCTGGCACAGAAGTTCCTTGCAAAAGATTTAAATGCTAAACCATGGAGTAAGGTATCTGTGAATAAACAGCTCTGTGGTAACAACCTAAAACCCAGGACTTTTTGCAGCATGCAGAGGGAACCCCCCATAGGTTAGGAAGAGATGCTTATGGAGAGTATGTCCCATTGCAGAGGGGAAGGGTAGAAGCCAGTCAACAGACTGCAGTGCCTCAGAAGTGCTGACCTGCACAATTTTCTAAGAGATCAGCACACTTTGAAGGAGCCATCTAAAACTCCAGAACAGATACAAGAGGACTCAAAGTAACAATGGTAAAACAGAAAGAAAGGTTCTAGGACCCAAGATATTCAATGACCATCGTGTGGTTGCTTATTCTGTAAGGACAACTGCCTGGCAAGAGTAACAAGGGTCACACTTCCCCTTTCCTTTTCCCTTTCTGAATGTTGTCCTCATATTCTGCCTCACATGATCCCCTCCTTCCCTCAGTTTAGTACCTGCTATAATTATTTATTCCTAAGGGACCCACCATTTTGTTTGGTTCTTAAACCAACCTAGCTTAGGTTTGTTTTCACCTGATCAGGCACAGTGTTTTTAAATGCACATATTAGAGTAAATCGTTTCACACACATTTCTGAATGCCTAAAAAAGGGGTGTCCTTTAAACATACTTGTACAAGTATTTTCAGTGTTCACTTTTCACCTTCAAACAAAGCATGAGGTGTCACCTGTATGATTCAAAGACAGAATTCAGAACAAAGAACCTTATACCCCAGCATACTAAGCCACAAATTTTCACAGTTAATGCCACTGGATTATTGATTAATTGAATATTTCATATTTATCTCCCTCACATGCAACAAAAGAGCCAAACTATGCTTAATCATTATAATTCTGTTGCATTCAAACATCTTATTTGATCCCTTAAAATTATTTTAAAGGACTTTTTTGTTAAGTGCCTTCTCTTTTGAGGACTTGTATGGATGACGTAAAAACAAGTACTGCACAAAATACTTTTCTACAGCAGCTTGTATTGAAAAATCCAATTCTGTTGTGCTAAATGTTGTTAGCACTTTGGTAACAACTGTGTAATAAGGATGCTATGCACAAATGGACCATGTCACATTAAAAAGCAAAGCTTTCAACACATTTTTCAAAGGCCAAATGTAACTAATCACTTGCAACAAATTCCAACTTTGAACACACAAGGCGTATCTTGTTTATCAAGGAGAAGTTTGGTAAAACAAAACCAAAATCCTTACCCCCAACTAGTTCTGCATTCATTATTTTTTTCAGCTTAGGAGAGAAAAAAAACCCTCCTGAAACTATAAGTATAGTAACCTCAATAGGTAATTTGGACCATCTTAACAGCTACTTTCCCCTAGAGCTTTAATCTCACCTAAGCTAGGAGCTCCTCTCTATCCTCCAAGGTTTATTAGTGTTCCTCACTGCAGTCTCAGCCTACATGGAAATTAGCAGAATTCTTATGCACAAGCTTTCCAAGTCCTCCAGATATTTTCCACTTCTTAGCCTTTATTTAAATATACTCAGGTGTAACACTAGACTTCTAGAACTGTTGCATCTATGCTGTAAAACATTCCACCTTGGCATCTTTTCAAAGGATTTGATGAGAAACAAACCTACCAACGTAAGTTCAGTATTTTCTGTTTTAGAGTAAAGGGAAGAAATGCTCTAGAAACTGCCTCCAAGCATCACTAACAGGTAAGTTGTTATAGGAAAAAAAAAGGCATGGCCAAATCACTATGATTTCTAGAACTTCAGCTAGTCTATAGCAGCATTAAATACACCTAGTGATTAAGACACCCAGATGAGATCTATTTGTGTGCAAGACTTTTTTTACAAACTTTTTTTTACTATTCTTTATCATCAGCATGTTGATTTAAGTTATTTACAGCAGCAATAAAAATAATGAAGTAGCTTATATCTTCCCCAAACCCTGCCTGCCTCCAGAGCTGCACTGTAAGTGGAATCTACTGATCTGCCCTCACAATGAAACACCAGCTGGAAGTTGCCACATCCTTTCAAAGTAGGTGTGTGCCTGATTCAAGCCTTTTCCTTTTCAATGATAGTATATTTAAGTGTCCCTGCCCATGCAGGGGGGTTGGAACCAGATGATCCAACCCAAACCATTCCATGATTCTGTGATTTAAGTAACAAACTGCATTCAAGGACCAGAAAGGAGAATTCACCAGTATCTTCCTCCTTATAAAAGTTTATTAAACAGCTAAAACCAGAGTTTGTGGGGACTCTGTAAAAATTCATTCCTACACTGAATATTTGATCAATTTCATTTTAACAGTACCATTCCACTGAGGCAGCAGCCAAGCAACTACTTACGTTGTTGATTTCTTTTGTCACTGGCATTTTTCAAAGGAAGGCACACAGGACAGTCGTGCCGAGTACAATTCTTCCAGTGGGAAATGATTTGTCTCGAAGATGCACAATGAGCAACTGTAACAAGGAAAAGCAACAGAATTCAGGTCACTCCCTGGTTAACTGGTTTAGGATTACCTCATTTTTTGGAGCAACTGTTTTTTCTCCTTTACAAGTGATACTGCACCTATAACTAAACACAGCTAAAAGGCAAACAAAACTGGATGTATTTACCAAGATGTGTGTTTAACACCAAACTCAAGGCAATAGGTAGAATTTTGTAAAATATGGTTGGACCTGGCTTTGCATGACACTGCCATCAGTTAAGACTTCCCAGGTGGTTAAATCCAGCCCAGATTCCATGTTGGATCTCAAGTGTTATATATGTTACTTCATATCCATTTAGGATGGGGTTTTTGTGTTGATAAAGACCTTCTGCCAGGCTGATTTCTGATCTGAGAACATTGAGCAATCATAGCTAAGCAGAAGCTATAGGTGTCTATGCCCATGCAAGGGGGGTGGAACTAGATTATCTTTAAGGTCCTTTCCAACCCATATTAAAATCTAAGGCACAGACACGGTGGATATTATACACTCTGCTGTATTGAGAAGGAGATGAAAAGTATGTTTGCAAGGCTACATTGGTGCTGTCCTACTTCTGAAGGACAAACACTGCATTTTGTTTTCTAAATTGACAACTACAAAGAAATCAGAAATGGAATATGGGGAGAGGTAGTGATAAAGGCAGAGGTAGTGATAAAGGCAGCAGCTATTTAATTAAAGAACCAGTTGTGATGCTCATTTGTGCCAGGTGTGGGGATCTCCTTGACAAGAAGAGACAAACAGGCAGGAAACCTCAGCCAGCTGATTTGCCAGAGTGCCCCCTGCTCTCACCTTGACAGGCCTTGCCAGCCTGGCAGTGTGTCATGTGGTTGAGGACGTTCTTCATGGTGCGGCAGTGGGGCAGGGCGCAGGCCCGCACCTCCCCGTTGGCCTGTTCCCGCCGCTGACACTTGTGCGCGTGGAGCAGCAGCACCAGCTGCTGCTGGATCAGTTTGCGCTTCTCCGGGTCTGCTGTTGGTCCAGTCGCCATCGCCTGCGTCGGGACGATCCCCACTTGCTGTACTTGGGTTTGCATCTGGGACTGAGAGAACAAAGGAAGTTGAGAAACAGGTTGGTACGTCTTGATGCTGATCTTAATCTTGTGTGAGGGGCTTAAACGAGGGACTTCAGACAAGGGCAGGGAGGGAGAGGACAAGGGTGATGGATGAAAACTGGCAGAGGGGAGATTGAGGTTGGACGTGAGGAGGAAATTCTTTGCTGTGAGGGTGGTGAGAGCCTGGCCCAGGTTGCCCAGGGAAGCTGTGGCTGCCCCATCCCTGGCAGTGTTGAAGGGCAGGTTGGATGGGGCTTGGAGCAACCTGGGCTGGTGGGAGGTGTCCCTGTCCATGCAGGGGGTTGGAACTGGATGGTCTTTAAGGTCCCTTCCAACCCAAACCATTCTAAGGTAATAATTTAAGTATCACAAGACCATTTGCTGGGCATTCTCTAACAAGCTACAAGGATTATTACACCAGTCTCTGCAGCATTCTCAAACACTTCTAACACTAGAATAGGAACTAAGAGGTTCCTCTGTTAAGACATTAACAAACAATAGTTTAAGTAACAAGCCATTCAAAATCTTCTTTTTATGAGACAGTTCACAATCCCAACTGCAATGAGCTTTTACCACACTTGGAGGTGGAATTCAAGTCTGTTTAGTGCTACATTTTTGTACTATAGGTTTTATACACTTCAATCCTAGTTTCTTGTCCCAAATAGAAAGAGAAGCCCAATGGGAGAAGATGGTCATAATTACATGACTGACAGTCTCTATATATTGCAGTAAAAGCTAGAACTCATTTTCCAAGCATAAATCAGCCTCTCTCCTCACAAGTGACTGCTGACATTCCTTTCATAGAGAAAATTTCCAAGGTGAGCTGCATACAGCTTTCTCCCAGAAAGGGCCACCTAAATCTGGATTGCATTGTGTCTACTGAAGTGAACTGAAGTTAACTTCGAGGTGACATGAAGGTTGTATCAGCTCAGAAAATCCACTGGTTTATTTCCAGCATCCATTCTTTCTGGACACACTCTGTTCTGGCGCCCAAGCCCTGCCTGACAAACTCTGCACACCCACAGAGATCTGCACTCTAACACACAGCTCATAGCACTGCAGAGGAGAAACAGCTTCTTTCACATGTCAGCACAGATTTAGAGGATTTTCTACCACTTTCTTGGACCTTTTAAGGACAACAAATGTAGAGACCTAATTTTCAAAATGAAACACCTCCACAGCCTGCAAGGACTCTGCCAGCAGGAACAGATATGGGACTGCAGAAGTGCTTAAATCCCTGGGATTCGCAGCCTGAATTCATCTCATGGACAAATGTGAAATTGTCCCAAGAATCACTTTGATTATGCACTGTAAATATAGGTTACCACAGAAAAGCTCACCAACTTCCAAGCTACCTAAGGAAAACCAGCCATTAAACCCACTTATAAATAGAATATAGGAAGAGCAGGATTATACTGGGGAGGTAACAGAAGAAATAGTTCAGAGCTCTCTTTGGAGCTGCTGACCAAAGCCCGCTCACTACATTTAAGAAAGATCATCCTTAAATGTCAGAATACACCATCTGTAGCCTACTCTACTTTTGACCTTTGAGAAGCACTCTCCAGAAAATTCCACAGCCTACAAAACAGAGCCCATAACAGCAACAAAACTCATTTCCTTAGGTCAGTGAAAAGGTTCCTTGGCACAAGCCATCACTGCTCCAGCAGCAAGTTTTTGACCTCAACTTTGCCACCTGCACATCAGTTCTTGAAGAGCTAGTTTTTCTTCTGGAGAATGAAACACACAATATCAAGTAGAAAGCACAATGTCTGTTATTTGATGTGGAGGAGGTGGGCACTCTGTCACTAATAATGATTATAGTAGGTCTGAAACAAAGAGGAATTGCTTCATCTGTTTATCTTGAGTTTGCAAGAAAAAGAGCAAGGAGAGGGTGAGGGAAACCCATCCACTTATGCTCTCAGTGCTTGCAGCTGAAACTAAGCCTTCCACTTCTTCCATGAACAAATCCACAAGAGCAGACAGGTTTTGCTGAAACAATTCTTGTGACACAAATAGGAAACAATTAGTTCAGCCAATCTCCAGAAAAATACAGAGACCATGCCAAAGAAAATCTTGTTGGAAGCGATGTTTTCATCCCTGTCAAAGGACTTTTTTCCCAAGCCAAAGTTCTCCTGCTATTACTACCCTACCAGTTAACAGACATGACTACAGCTGTATCAGCACAGATGCCCTGACCCAGAAGGACTTCTTGAAGATCAAGTAACAAAAAGGCAGAATTGTGGAGTATCAGTAGTTAGAAGAACAAGCAGTCTTGGTCCAGATGCAAGTGTCTGCAGGTAGGCACAAAAAACCCCCCAAGTCAGAACACTGTCTAAACTCTAGAGTTATGCTGGTCTTGTAGAGTCCAAAACCTGGAAATGTAATGAATGGTCTTTCCACCATCTGTCTTAGTTTCAAGACTGCTGACTCAGGAAGCTGACACTTCCCTGTTAGTTTTTCTTAAAGAACAGTGGTCGGCAGCACCAGTCAAAACCAGAGACTTGTTAGTGCACCGCAGTCTTGCCAGAAGTGTGTAAATCCTCCTGCAAGCACAGAAATAAGTCCACACCAGAATGAGGTGCAGTCTTTTGATTTCCATGTTCTTTCTCCCTTATAACAGGACACCACATTCTGGAATCACTACATTAGGACAAATTCTGCATTTTAAAAAATGCCTTTTAATTGGACAGGTTTGGAGTCAACAGTGGACCTGAGTGAGATGATTAAGAATCCACTGCTACAAAGGACTACTTTTGATACAGTTGTTTTACAGACCTTCCCTCCCCCTAATCAGAAGGCAGGTAGTGCTGTATTTGGGATTTCTCAGTCTGTTGGACTATAGAAGGGATGTTATTTCCCAATGACAAGTGATTTTTAACGTTATTCACATACGTGCTTACACTATGGGCAGATTCACTCTAGCTATTAAGACTTTCAAAAACAATCTTTAGTATCTGCAGAGGAAAGTTGCATCCCACCTTCACTCTTGCAGGAGCATAAAAGGTGAAACACACCCAGACCTTCTCAGTTCCCCTCAACTATAGGCTTAAGTGTGATCTTGGAGGTCCCTTTCAGAGAAGAGCTTGTGGACACAAAGTGGATATATCCATGAATTGTAAATCTCTAATAACACTTCTAATTAACAACACTTCTATGAATTTGTTTTTCACAGTGTGATTAACTCAAGTCAGGTATCCCACACATCTACAGTAAGATTGAAATAAGTCCTTCCTGCAAACAGGAATTGCAGGGATGTTGTAATAAGCTCTGAACAGCCCAGGAAGGACTGTTCTGTCACAAAACTGCAGCAAGAGCTCAAGCAGCAGGCAGCTGATGACACCCAGGAAGGAGACGTTTCTCAGTGCAGTCACTTCATCAACCCAGGCTTTTCCAGTGACTACCAATGTGAAAACAACACAGAACCAGTTTACACTTCTTGCAATTCCCTCTGATATTCTCTGTCTGGATGGTGGTTTCTCTGGTTCCACCAGGCACTGTGGACAGGTCTGGTCTGAACAGCCTGCTCTTCTCTATACAGGAAGGATCCTTCTGACACCAGGAATCAGGTCTGCTTTGCCTCAAGAAGTCCATGTGCACACAGAGCAGGCTGACACAAATGCAGTTACTGCAAGTGCTCGTCTTGGTACCAACAACCCTGCAGCTTTGCATCCTCTCATCCAAGTAGCAGAAGGAATGAGAATCTGAGTCTGAAAGGTGGGCAGAAGACTTCAGAGAGAGGAAAAAAGGCTTCCTGAACTGGACACAGACTCAGGGGGTGGCCGTGCTCTTTGGAGGCACATTGGCCCGAGTGGTAAGAGATGATGTCAGCCTGTCAGTAGCACCACATGGAGAGCTTGCAATGCAGCTACAAATGTGAAGAAAGGGAAGGTGACACACTCAGCTCCCACATACAAAGCCAGCCCGGTGTACAGTCTTACCATGAAGATGCATTCAGAGCCCAAAGTTTATTTCAAAGCTTGGGCATTGACATGGCTACAGGCAAACTTTTCCTGTCAAGAGTGAAGAGTGTTTTCATCTTTCAGCTTCCACCTCCCACTATGCAGTATAATCTCCACCTCTGCAGGTGGTACAGGTGAGTGAGCCTCTCAAGTCCCCAGCAAACAGAAAAGGTGAGAAGGCTCCTATGATCCCTCCATAGAAGGAACCTGAATAGCTGGTCCTAAAGAGTGTGCCCTCAATGCGCTTGGCTTTCAATGGCTTAAAGAGTTTTCTTCCTAAACCAGCAAACACCTCAACATGTGCAGTTGACTCTGGACTCTGCTGGAAATCAAGGCTGGATCAGTATCCTTCTTAAGGATATACTTTTGGAGTTTTAACTCCTTGTCTTTATAAGCTCATTTGAAGGACCAGCAAATGACAAGAAACATGCAATGAAGTGTTTCAAAGTGGGAAAAAAAAAAGGAGGAATAAACTGGATATAGGAAAGTGCAGCCAGAGCCCAGCCCTTGCATACAGGAAATTCAGTGAACAAAATGTTAAGAGTGCTTTCTATAGAACATACAGGGTGATCAAATGGACTGAGGAAATATCAACACTAAAAATTCCTGTCTGCGGATAAGAGACAGATCAGAAGTTTTAAGTGAAGGAAGTCATGCTGTCAGAGTGCTGGCTACGGGTAGAATACTTCATCTCAGCTGCTGAGAGTAAGACATGGCAATGGGTGCTCTCCACCTCATATACTTATATATAGAAGATGAGAGAGTGGAAGACGAGCCAGAGCACTGGGGAAAGCACAGATCCTCTTCTTCGGTTCATTTCTGGCACCACTACTTACGGATAGGGCAAAAATTAAAATGTTCCACCATTCAAAGCAACACACATTCCCAGGATGAACTCCTGCACCAAGCCAGAACAGAGATTCCTACTTTGCTCCCAACATAATAACAACAGTTTCTCTGGCACTGGACATTATCTGTTAGATTTGTTTCCAGGTTCTTAAGATTTCTTCCTTTAGAAGCTCACGGCTAAGTAATATAGACAAGAGCTATTCCCTAGCGTTTGTTAGGCTGCTGCCCCACTTCAGGTTTATTTCAGTTTTCTTGAGGAAGAGAGAGCATGCCTGAGAAAGAAAAACTTTCAGAGTGCAGGTCAGGCAGGCACAGGGAAGGTGAGCACAGCAAGCAGCAAGACTGCCAGATTGCTCAGGACAGCAGCAAGCAGAGACACAGCATGCCCCACATCTCTCCCCACAGTAAACAAGAAGACTGACTTTGCTGCAAGAAGAAAAATAATCACTGAAATGTTAAGAAAAACAAGCCTTCTTCACTGTGAGGACACAAGAGATTTTTCATACAGCCTTTTACTTCAAGTCTCTAGACAACAGAAGTTGTCTATTCTAAGTAGCTACAGCTCTACATGTGATGAAACAGCTTTCTTCCTTTCTCTAGGAGGTCTGCAGCAAGGCACACCTGAGGAATCCTCATCCCCCACTCATTGTTTTCCTCTCTTCTGATCAAAGTTAACAAAGAAATTCAAAGGACATGAAAAGAAACAGAGAAACAAGGAAGACTGCAACAGAACACTCAATATATAGTTTACTAAGAGTTAGGGAAAAAAACGCCAGAGAAGATGTGCTGCTCCAACTCTTAGGTTGAGAGAAGAGAAGAGAAACTATTTTCTTCTCTTCCAAAAAGTAACATTCTTTCAACTCCATCTGCTGGTCATAAGGATAACTGTGAAACCAAGCTGGTGTCTTGGAAGCCAAACTCCACACATTGTATTCCTAACCCATGCAGAAATGCTACATTTACTGGTACGTCCACAAAGAAACCATCCATCAACCTTGAACACTGCAAAGCTTCAGCAGGTTTGATTGAAAAGCCAGCCAGGGGTTCTCTCTCTGGCAGCACAGCCTGGAGGCTGGGTCCTCTGAAAACAAGAGGCTCCTGACTCCATCCAGGCTGCACACTGTGCTGAGTGCCAGAGTGCAGAGCACGGCCCATTTCCACACTCTGGAGATTTTGCATGATGTCATCACAGCAGAGCGTTGCCAGTCCTGCCTTGAACAATTCCAGTCATACTGGACCTCAACAGTGTGTCACCAAAACTTCCAGCCACGTCAGATGCAACATCCTTCTTTTGGAAACAAGTCACTTCACTCAAGATTTCAAGCTGCCCATTCTGTAGGGAA